TATACTAATTTCTTAATCTGTTCTCTGCAACTCCCAGGCAATCTCATTAACACTTTCTTTAAATTCTCATCCAGGGGTATTCTATATCACATGTGGCTTAATTTGTTTTTAATTGTTTTGCATGTTTGTTCCTTTAAGATGGCCAGTTGCTGACAAGAAAATGTGGATGACATTAAGTGTCAGCCGGTGGTAGCTACCACACGGGGACGTCATGATTATTTGTGTGTTAAATTTTAAGGAAAGTGTTAAAAATCAGTCCTGTTCCAATATGCATGCTGAGGGTAGAATAACCAGGCAACTGCTCACAGTAACGGAGGAACACACCACACATGTGTTTAGCACTTCTGTGCTCCACACGCAACAGAGAAAGACGGGGCAACAGCTTTATTGTACCACAGACAAAGGAACAGATTAGGATTAAATCCTCAACAAGTACCACAATAACAAAACCATTTTCAGCATGAAAGTAAATACCACAAAACATGTATAATATATATGCAAAATAAAAATAAAATAAAAGCAACCCTGACTGATTTGTGTTTGATATAAGGCATTATGACGAATGCAACTGCCATTTTGTTTGTTTGTTTGTTTTCTACACGGTGCACGTCTTAATTACAGACCTCTTTAACCCCTTAAGGACACATGACATGTGTGACATGTCATGATTCCATTTTATTCCAGAAGTTTGGTCCTTAAGGGGTTAATGAGCAAACGCAGTACATATATTTTGGATTCTGCATAGCTTCCTAGTAATTTACATTCAGCCCAATGTCTCCTCTTTCTACAATATTGTGTTAGCTCGATTCCTGCTGGGTGTCTGGAATGTACGATGTCCGTTGAGAAATGAATGACAGGTATATGTTGGAACATGAAAACCAATCATATTCGAAAATGAAAGAAAGCCAAGGTGTGAAGAGGAGACCGATGGTGTCAGACCAGGCAAATTATTTCAGATCCTAACAGGTTGCTGAGGCAGTATTTACTCTCTCCCAATTGTATGCGCACTGTCAGTTAAATGAGAATGTGTGGGCAAGCTGACATCCTGATGCCTGAGCTGACTGGCCGACTGATACAATGATGTGTTCTAGACTATAATGTATCCTGTGATCATTTAAAATGGCTGCACGCCTGGCATTTTCATTCTCCACAGAGCCATTAAAATGTTATTTGAAAAGGACCGCAAAGTGATTACTAACATTGTTTGTGTGATTTTTTTAAATTGGAAATCAGAACATAAGGAAGGTAAACCTGACTGAAGCATTTATTAAGGCTGTAAAAGCACAACGTGTGCCCCTGTGAGTCTGATGAGTCCAAATCTCCGGTTGATGTTCCCTAATAATGGTGACAGGGCAGTCAATGTCCAGTTTTCCTTTGTGCAGAAGAGGCAAACTGACAAGTGACTTCCTAAATATTGGTTAATAAAGCTAGTTGAGGAAAACAAAATCAAATTCACCCGAATAAAACGAGATTTTCACTCCATTATTTTAACTTTAATTTAATATCCATTGTAATCACACCACAACTGATTGTTAAAGAGACAGTATAGTCATCAGAACAACTACAGCTCAATGTAGTTGTTCTGGTGAGTATAGTCAGTCCCTGCAGACTTTTTGCTATAAACACTGTCTTTTCAGAGAAAATGCAGTGTTTACATTACAGCCAAGGGATACCTCCAGTGGTCACTCCTCAGATGGCTACAAGAGGTGCCTTCTGGGTCAGTGCTGCACAGCGTGCAGTACTTACATTCAGTGTCTGCACCCTCTACATGGAGACACTGAACTTTCCTCTTAGAGATGCATCTCTATGAGGAGAAACTGATTGTACAGGGCACCATTTGGCCCCGACCTTGACCCACCTCCTTGGCTGAGATCATCAGAATTTACAATCTCAGCTAATCCAATGCTTTCCTACGGGAAAGCATTCTGATTAGCTGAGATCATCACTTTTGATGATGTCAGCCAAGGAGGCAGATCAGGGGCAGAGCCAGAACCAGCAGACTGGAATAAAGGTCATATTTTAATATATTTAGGGGAGTAAAATGGGTTGGGGTGGCTAAATTGTGTATTTAACACTGTAGAGTCAGGAATACATGTTTGTGTTCCTGACCCTATAGTGTTCCTTTCAACAACTAAAGTACATTTTGATTTTGATTAAGTTTCTGAGATTTTGATTACGTTTCTGTTACCTTGATGAGTTTTTAAACTCCTGGATCATGGCTCTAAATGACATGGCCACCAGCTAGAGGTTTAGACAGCATATGTGTTCACAATGTGATAAACAAATGGGTAGATAACTGATAGCACTCATATTCTTGTTTTTATAATAATGTAGAGGCACAAATATAAATAACCATTTTATGTTTAACATCCAGTTGTGGCCATCCTCAGGTGTTGTATTTTGTTAAATCTATCGCATATCAAGCAATTGCAAATACAAGTTGATAAAACGCTGGTAGCCGTATACACTACTGTGTTATAAAAAATACATTGTTTTGAGCATAATAAAGCAGATCCACTCAGGGTTATTCACTAAAGCTAGAATTATCAAGTATTTAACCCCTTAAGGACCAAACTTCTGGAATAAAAGGGAATCATGACATGTCACACAAAGTGGTTTATTTGCTTTTTAAGAGCCTTACCTGGTAAAAGAGAGTGAAATATTTTTCATGAACTAGCTAAAAGCCTGCATCGTTTTCTTTTTCTAAAAAATCGGGGACGCAGAACCCTACAGAACCCTGTGAGAAATTCATGCTTATAAGTAATATCAATATTGTCCTATTCAGTGTCCTTGAGCAAGGCCTATATTTAATCAGACTACATCACAAGCTCATCTAAGTTCCACTGACACTTCTAAACCTTTACAAATGCCAAGCGAGGTGAAGAAAAATTGATCATGCAAGAAAAGAGACGGAAATGAAAAGTCATCTGCTCCTTAAGAACCACATTAATTTTCAAATTCTTTCACAGGCACATTGGCTGACGGAGGAGCTCACTCGTAATGGAGAATTGGGAGAACTATATGTAAATCCCACTGTAAAGCTTTCATAAACCACTTTAACTCAGCGACTCAAGGATCTACCGTTAAGCTGTTCGGATTTCATTGTACCTGGAAAATTCTGAGCATGGTATTGTGAGCACAGTTGATTTTGCAGAAGGAGACTGATATTACCTCACACGTTGCAAGTTCTAGCTTGAACTTAAAAAGTAAACATCATTAAAATAACATTCAGGTAAAAAAATACAGAAATTGAAATTGGGGTCTCACTATGGCTAAATCTTTAATGAGCTAAAATATCTCCTCCTGACGCATTTTAAATAATGCTATTAAACCTCGCCTTTCACCTGATACAACCACAATTTGGAAAACCTTCTCTACAGAATCTAAATGTAAAGTTCAGCTATTTGAAAAACGGTCTGACAGAGATTAGATGCATTTAGCTCTTTTGAAACGTGAAGTCTGAAATCCTTGTAAGATAGAAGGTTTTGCAAGCTGGCAATTTTTGATACTCAAGACCTTTACAATTTCTGCTTTGACTTTGTAATATTTTCTTCTGTGTTTATTATCATTCATTTTGTTTCTGATTAAAGAACTTTATTCACCTACATGAATGGGTTTTTTTTGGGGGGGTGTAAATGTAATAATACCCTAAATCTCTTTATTTCCTGTTCATTGTACCTTCTCTCAACTTTAGTATCGTGTTTCTTTTTTTTCTTTTTTTTTATTCTTTATTTTTGTAGTGCTTGTGGTTGTAACATACATGCTTGTGGTACCCCAACGGCATTCCACATGCTGGTTTCATAAACAATAGATACAGTAGGGGTTGAGTAAACAATGCACATTTTTAAATTAAGTATATCTTAACATGGCTAGGATATCAAGCTTGAGTAGTACAGGTCTAGGCCAGTGATCACTCCGATAATGCAGCGTTAGTTACGTAAACGGTCTAGGTCAGCTTGGTCAGTGAGGTGGTGGGTCGTATGTTGCTTATAAATAGGTGCAGCTAAGGGTGCGCTGACTATGTGTATGTGAATGTAAATTTAGCCGTATAGACACTTTGGGTGTCTGTCATGTCGTTGGTCCTTAGCTTTCATATTGCATCTGTATGAGATGAGAGTGCGCGTTATTTTGAGTGCCGTATATGATGCACTGACACAGTGGTCCGCTAGTAAAAGTTAAAGGAAACTTGTTAGGGGTTAGGGGTAAATCAAGTGAAATAAGTCATGCTCGTATGCTAGCAACACGCTTTATGTACATCATGTTTTCCGCAAGCTAGGTCTACATTCAGAGTAATTCTTGACAGGAATATTTGCAGATTGTTATAATAGCAGACTTAGACGTGCAGCGACAGTTAAACACAGGCTAGATTGTGGGTGAAGGTGGTGCAGCATTAAAATAATGTAACTTAATATAACTTGCCACTAGTTGCCACTATAATGATATCCCTGGTTGCCAGAATAAAACATGTGAGAGAAATCACTGCTAACATTAAACATGCTAAAGATATCACTGGTTGTCAGCATGAAACACAGGAAAAATACCACTGCTTGATATGGCCTTAGTCCCTTGTGGCTGGCAAGCTGCAGAATGGTGTCCTTTTAGCCTGTGCCCGACAGGTGTAGTCCTGATGCCCAGGAAGGGTGAAGGTGTTCCCACCCAGTGCTTGCTGTTTGCCCTAGGAATTTAGTCCAGTGACCGCTGTACCCTCCATTCGGAGGTGATTGAATGTCAGCGAGGGGTGCCGCAGGAGGGTATGCGCCGCCCGAGCGGACTGAGCTGCGGTACAGCCGTGAGATGCTCCTTCCGCCAGCGGCCCACTCCCGACCTTGCTCCACTTTGTCATGATCCTGCGGTCTCCCTGGGACCTTGCGGACTCTGTTTGAGGACCGGCGCGCAGTTCCGTCAGGTTTCAAAGTATGCTTCGTGCTCTTCTGGGTTGGCCGGTACGCTCTGGGCAGCACCCGCCTCCTCCGCAGCTCGTGGGGTCGTATTTGGGCCTTTCAGCGGTACAGCCGTGAGATGCTCCTTCCGCCAGCGGCTCGCTCCTGACCTTGCTCCACTTTGTCATGATCCTGCGGTCTCCCTGGGACCTTGCGGACTCTGTTTGAGGACCAGCGCGCAGTTCTGTCAGGCTTCAAAGTATGCTTTGTGCTCTTCTGGATTGGCCGGTACGCACTGGGCAGCACCTGGGGTCGTATTTGGGCCTTTCGGCGGTTCAAGCTGGGTGAGTGTCGGGAAGAGGGAGTTGTGTCCGGTGGCAGGTCTGCAATTCTGGGTCTGTTTGCTGGCAGGTTCAGTTTACTCTCGCGCTTCGCACAGAATTCTGCCAGCAGCCTGTCTATGCGGACCTCGAGTGGCTCCAGCGTGCCTTGTGTGACAGAGGCCGGCATGGTGTCCGCCATCTTGCCTGAGGCTGCTTCTTTTGTGTCGAGTAACCCTTCTGCCGCAGAGTAGAAAGCAGCGGGCAAGTGCCGGGATGTCCCTCACCGGCAAGGGGGGGGGGTGGTTCCCTACCGCCTCTAGGCACTCCAACAGCAAGGTCCGCGGGGAGATCAGCCGCTTCCCCCGTCGGCACCCACAAGTAGGCCACAAAGAGGTTTTGGGTTGTAAACCGCCAGTCCGTCACTGCAACACCCCAAAATGTAGTCCTCGGGTATACAGGTTAGTTTCTGTGTCCATAGGTTTGTGGTTATTGCTGTTTAATTTGTCTTTATATCGATATTTCTGTGGCTGTCTATGGAGCTCACCCCAAGTGCTGCCGCTCTGCTTGGCAGTCAGGCCCCGCCCCCCATGATGTTCTTTAAAACACTTGACAAGCTTTTCTATATTCAGTCATGTATATTGGAAAAGGTTTCACTCACCCACCATTAGTACAATCATTTTGCTATCTTGGTTGGCCTGAATATGTTAAAAGCTGGGCTCTCTATACCCTGTATTGTTATCGAAAATCGGTATCAACTAATAAAGGCAAAAAAAAATAAAAGATCAGAGGTGTGGGGGAAAAAAGTCATCATTGAGGCACCACCCACTCTTGATTAATGCTGTGGAAACTACTGCTCAAAAGTGTAGACTTAATGCACCAGTCATAACAAATAAAGAAGCAAGCTTGGTCAGCGCCTGCGTAGATACCAGCCCCCGTGACCGACTAAACTATCAATATGAAATGCTCACGAATGTCAGGAAATGTCTGATCACTTTTACCAGCACCACACGCTTGTTCGTTGTAAAGTTCTAAGTCATGTCATCAAGTGCTTCTTTTAATACCATAGGCACTGGCTACGACAGATGTTGTATTGACACAAGGAATATTGGCATCACCTTGTGAGAACTTTGTTTATACTTCCCTCTAATGAGGGCAGTCCAAAGGTTTACATACTTAAGGTATTACTCTACAATAGAACTGTAACCTTGCAAGGAACATTGCTAAGACTCTGGGTTGCAGTCCCGATCCATCTGTACTGATGTATTGTTGTGTCAGTTGTAATTTCGGCTTCTGTATTCTTGTTGCGGATGCTTGATCCTGTGTACACATTCACCAGTTATTCTTTGAAAGTTACTGCTCCCCACCATTAGTCTAAGGGCTAACCATGTGGATGAAGGTATCAGTACAGAACACTTAATTCCCTCTATGCGTTTCTCCATGAAGACTACCATGATTTGAGCATGGTCGGGATCCAATGCTATATCTTAAGGTAAACATTAGTCAGTATAGATATTAGTTTAGTCAATGCTTTATTAAGTGTTTAAACTCATTTGGTTCCAACTCCTCTTCTGAGACTTCTTCCGTGCACACTTTGCATTTAAGTTTGATTGCATTTAAGTCTTAGTGTCCATTCTGGTTTGCTAGGCAGTCTGGAACTTCAGTAACTGCATAGTGGAAGACTCCAGGGAGGCATACTCATTGTTCCCCATCCCATATGTCTAATATTGCATAGTGAATCCTTAATGTCCCACTTTGTTTCCAGTTTCCAGGTAAGTGTCCTCCTCATCCAAAGACTGGTAATACAAACCTTCTTTGGGTGAAATAGAATCAGCCATATCTAGTGACAGCTTCTCAGTAGGAAAAAGCTTAATTTTTCACACTGGATTAATTTTAATTTTTTTTAATTCTCACTTGAAGATACAGAGGTGATATCTTGAATCCCAACAGCCCTGGACATTTTAGTTACTTCTTCTGATTTACCCTGTTTTGGGGGAACATCTGCAAGTGATATCATGGCTACATTGTAAAAAAAGAAGGTTTACAAGCTAGCTTTTCTGAGACACATCTGCCGAACTTGTTGGTTTTGCATGGGAGACTGAATTGATCGTGAACTTGGATACTGTCCTTTCCAAAGCTCATATAATCAATTCTCCCTATGGTATACTCAATGGTGGTCAAGTTAATTTTCCATCACCCTCATCTCCTAAGCAATCACCCAAGAGACTTCTCTCATTCACCTTCTTATAATAATGACCCTGCATTTCATGCATGATGCTTTAAACACAGCTTGGGTATGGGTAGACAAAGCTCACAGGTATACATTAAAGTAGTGTTGGCTAATCTTTGAATGCCAGATATTGTAACTATATTCCCCATGATAATTAGCTTCAATGGAAATTTAAT